GGCCTTTGATTCTTGGCAAAAATTTGATGACAACACGTGCGAAGCAACTGGGTCTCAAAGACTCAGCTAAAACATTGTGAGCCCCTATTTTCCTGACGATATGTTTGATACCTACAAACGCCGAAAAGTTTTTTCTTTTCATTTAGCTATATTTGAAATTGAGGCCACGGGCTATTTTTGAGAAAATACAGTTCAAAGTCAAGCTATTTTTACATATTTTCAAAATTTGTCAAATTTCGTGAGCTTGTATTTTGAACTTAGACAGCTGAAGTTACATTAAGAAACATAGGATGGAAAATTTGAGGCATATAAAGTTAATTTCAACTTACATTTCATTCTCATATCACGTCTTTCTTCGTTTATTACGCTTTTAAACAAGTCACAGATCGACGTATACGGTATTTACTCCCATGTTCACGTCGCCATATTAACTTCTTCCAATCACTCGATTACAAAACAAATCATCCCAAAACAAAGAATTCATAGTCGACTTTTGAAAGAATAACCGTTAATTTTTGAATCGTTGAATGGAAAGCAAAAAATCGTCAGCTAAAACAGCTTCTTGCTAACTTTCTGCTTTGTTTTGAATGTAAAATGCAATGAGCTTTGTATTAGCCCGCGATTATTTGGTCAGCGACGACAAATTTCCCACCTGTTCTGCGCATGTATATGTACTTAAATGTTATGACTAATTTTGGGTATTAGGTATAAAGCTTCTGGTTGCTTTAGGTATTTTGTAACATTTTGATCGTAATACTAGGTATTTTGATCCATATTTACCAGGTATTTAGGATACCATGACACCCCCTGGCTGACCCCTTTCAGTGCTGAGGCAGTACAGGGTCTCAAGGCCAAGGTCAAGTTGTCCATTCATTACATTTTACAGTACTTCGAATGTTTTCGAACTCTTGCTTCACACAAGAGCAGTAAACGCACACATTTCAAAGCGAAATTAGACGCAAAGGGGCAATTTTTCAACAAAATTTATTGTTAAATTCTGTTTCCTATCTGCCTTGGGGAGCAAAAAAATATGATTTTGAATTTGGAGGAATCGGTAATTGTTTTTGCAATTTGGCCTGGTATTGCACCCTACCTATGTACTGACTGTGCTGCAAAAGTAATCAAATATACTATTTTTAATTTCTCGTGATTGAAAGGATCTACTACTGTGGACTAAACTAAATTTTAATCAGCATATAAGGCTGCAAACAACAGCCAAGAATTTGCTAGGTAGTTTTCAAACTTTAAATGCAATTATTTATAATAAAGGAAGTTAATGTCGAGGAGATGCTCGCAGCATAGTTATTTGCCGGGGTTGACCACCGGGTATTGTCACCCCCTAATACTATAAATAGCTTTGCCTTTGCCGGCCAGTTGGGTCGTTCGCTTCGTCGCTGCAACACGCTTGTTTATCTCGCTCCTCAATTATCCACGGTAAAGATTTCTCTTAGGACGACGTTATGTCGTTTCCTGGTGGGTTTACTCCTTCGCCTTCGACGACATCTAGTTCTTTTTCTAGCATAAACACAACGATCGTGGCATCGTCCACGCCACAACTCGTCGCTTCGACGATCGCATCGACTGCTTCAGTTCTGTAGTCGCATTTAGCAGCTTCGAGTTTTGTTGTCATCACCGATATTGCCACAGAGATTAGCTATATGGTTACTGTAGCTTTTAGCGCAGAAGTATTGTGAGTATTCGACTCCGGTATACATTCATGCTGTGCATGCATGGTCGAAGATAGCTATATGTATATTATATAGCTACATATCACAGTCTCGTAAAGATACAAGTATGGACTGTGTAACCGATAATAAAAACGATTTTTGCGGATAACATGTAGCGCGGCATTATATTTCAGTTTATTTACCATACCGCCAAACGAATGTTCTACAAGTGTTTATATCGCGTCTTGTCGTGCGCTATACTAAGCCCGAAATTAATGAGGCTATATATGTTTTCCATAATCCAAAGCTGCAGACAAGTAAAGCTTGAAAATAAAATACGCTATCAGGCAGACAGTTTATGTGTATTCGTAAAGGCTAGGCTTGTATTTCGCTATAATTTCAGGTGTTTGCCATGCATCACAGTTAATCGAGGGAAATGGTTAGGCTAGCCGGCAAACTTCAAAGGGCTCGCGAGAATATGTCGGGAGCCAATAAAAATATGGTCACGTGGTCCGGTGCCTGCATTTTCTCAGCGTGATGACAGGAGCGATAACAAACAATTAGATCAAATTACATATAACATATCGATCTATTGTTAGAGTTTGTCGTCTGCTTAGGATAGTTTACCAACCAACAAGGATTGTATGGATGTCGACAAAGATTTTCAGGGTGTTGCTGCAGAAATTTCTACGGCTGAAGAGCAAAATACCGACGATGAAGACAGTGCAATGAGTGTTGCGTTCGAAGCGGGCGAACCACAAGACGAACCTAGCAGTTCGATTACTTCAGTCGAGGTTGATGAATCCGATGAATTTGAAGACAGTGAGACGGATTTATATCTGTTAAATCTTACTGTTTCAATTGCAGAGCTCGAAGGTGAAGAAATCGAAGAGGAATTCAATGATGCTTTGGTTGAAATCGAAGGCATCAAATCTTTTCCGTGCGAGAAATGCGAGAAAGTTTGCAAATCGAAAGGCGGCCTTACCAGACATATCAACTCTAAACATGGCCAAGTTCCAGCCGAAGAGTCATTGCTTTTGAAGTCTTTTTCCCTCGAAACGGTTGCTTCGATAATTGAAGCGATTAAGAGCAACATAACTGAGGGGAAGTTATATGGCACCGAAATGAGCAACGGTATAAAGACAGCAACTGCAACTAAAGCTTTATACGATGCCTTGTATCCTTTGTTTGCAACTTTTTGTAAATAGAAAAACCAAGATAAACTTGTAGAATCGTTTTTTGCTCTGATACCAAGATCGTGCGATTTACTGAACTGCAAGGACTACAGGGCTGCAAATCTGATAATGATTCACATACCTGATCATCTTGTCGGATTTTACCACACAAGTAATAAAGCATGTACTGGGGAAACAGAAGCTTCAAATGTCAAAAAACTTGATCCAGCTGAACGTGGGCCATTGGCATACGTTGCTGCATGGCTATGTGGTTTCGAAGCTTTTTCAAAAGAACAAACAAAAGGCTGGGAACCAAAACCGGGATTTACAGTCTCTGTTGCAAAGCATGAAGTCAATTGATCAGTCCACAAGTTTTATTTCTGCACGTTCCAGAGGTGGACTTGTTAATCCTTCAACAGACCTGGTGGGGATTTTAGAAGAAGCAGAATATTTATTCCGAAAACAAGTCAGTGAATTAACCCAAGGTACATTGAGAAAGATACCCACTGATGCTATATGTAGTAATGCCTTGAAATCACCTGTAGTCAAGTCACTGTGGGATAACATTGTTATGTCTGCGGGGGTGGATCACTCCAGTTCCACCCAAAAACTTTGTTTGGAAAATGTTATTAAACTTTACTTAAGAGTCAGGTTGTTTTCTTATGCCAGAGATTATTTAACTAAGCATAAGATAAAAGAAAAACAGCTCAAGAAGAAAGCACTGAGAAAGGACTTGAAACAATATAGCACTAAATAGAAACAATCTATATCGGTGATGTAATTAGTAAAATAGACAATATAAAAAATATTGTCACAATCATGCTATCAAAATTCCAAAGTTTCACACAGTAAAAATATCAATTATCATGGTATTACAAACTGATACCATCACATCAGGAAACTTGTCATTAAATGTCCCATAGCCTTGTTGGTTTAAAATAAGTTGAAAGCCGAAACCTTAATCTCCTCATTTTTCAGGGACATCTAATCATTTTCCTCATGTCCTTGTATCACTTGTAATGCATTAAATTTCTTTTACATATAATACTGTCTGATATATTTAGATTTGTTATTAAATAATTGTTATCACCATCTGGTTGTAGTTTTTATCCAAAGATACTAATTAAGGTAATCATAGTTGTGAAGGTCCAATAAATATATTCTACTGGCTAGGTATAACACGCCTAAAATTCCAAGCTATATTTGCTTGATCCCCTTTTCAAAATATGTTAGTCAATGAAGAAAAAGTAACAGAAGTAATTAGATCCCAGTTACACTATACCGCATCAAAGCAACTTCAAATTTTACTGTTTCAAACTTTCAAGGTGAGTTTAGGATGTAAATACATGATACCACAGAATCAAAAATAAGTAAAAACAAATTGCGTTGAGAACAATCAAGACCAGAAAATGCCCTAAGTTGAACTCACTCTGATTGCAAATCTGATATACTGTAACTGGACTGTTAATGGTCTTTCTACCAATATATTATATGCCAGTTGACATCCCTGGCTTGGCTTGAACTATCAACATTAATTGTCACATAGTTTATCCATCACCAAAAAACCAATATTTATATTAAAATTCCAAACTTTGGAAATTATAGTAAAATTTAAATATTTAAAAAATGTGAATTCTAGGCTAATGCAGATTAAATACTAGTAATTCAGTTACTGAAGTAAATAGCAAACTCCAGAGTCTAAAGCTACACACAGGGGCATAGGAACCGGGGGGCACGTGCACCCTCTCCAAATTTTTTCAAAGGACTAAAAGTGCCCTTTTTGTATAAGCTAATGTCGCTGTAAATACTAAATTAACATCAAAGGTGCCCTTTTTGTTTGCCAACATTTCTGGGAAAAAATTTTTAGGTGCCCTTTTCAATATCTATCCTAAAATGCTCCTGGAAGCCGGTGCCCCCCACCCCCAATCTTGAGATGCTTCCTACGCGCCTGGCTACACATCTCGTATATAAAGTTTGTAAACATCATAGGCATCGAAAAGAATGGATAAGTGGGGGAGGGGCATATTCATATATTCGTGTTCACAGACCTTAAAACAATAGATTTGAAAAGAAATTAATAATGCAGAACACAAATATATGAATATGCCCCCCCCCCCTCACTTATCGATCTTTTGAAGTCTACGGTAAACATAAAGTTTTATTTGGATGGTTTCTTCCGCTTCTTTACGGGCACATCACTGACTTGACTCCACTTCTGCTTCTCGTATCTTCCACCAACATTGCCTCTCAATACTGGGGCAATATCTCTCTGGGCCGCAATGGTCAAGTCATTGTACCCAAACTGCTGTGCCGTTGGGTTGTCTGCACGTCCACCTTTTGCTCTCTGGTGTCCGAAGTAATCTTCCAGCACATCTTGCATAAAACGCTCACTCAATACATACTTGAACCCTTCAGCAAGCAAAAACTGAATAGCCTCAATGTGTGAGTGGACATAAATCTTGAGGCCTTTGTAAGTTTGTAGCGAAAGAAACATCTTACCCCTTTCATCAGCAGTGTAGACTCCCTCTCGTTGCATGATGCTCTCTCTCCACTTTTCCAAATATTGCAGGAAGACATCCTTCAACCAAGCAAATCTCTCATCATCTTGGGAAGTGTAAGGTTTGATGAAATGATTTCTTCTTCTAACATGCTCAGTCAATGACCTAACATTTGTGCAGTCGAAGAAATCATTCATCATCTTACAAAATTCAGCTGTACCAAGAACATCCTCGTCATCTTTTTCTTCCAATGCTGTTGCAACCGACTGACTAAGAACTTGCGTTGCTAACTTCACCTTCATTTTGCTGTATGAAGTGAGGACTATATGATCCAGTGACAGCTTTGGCAATGTGTGCAAGGCAAATTCCTGGTCACTGTAGAAAAGGTCAGCAATGTGTTTGAACATCAGGTATCTGCCATTGTTCCACATCAGACGACTGCAAGAACCTGAACCCGAGTTGTATAAGCAATTCCGGGCAGTCTTCATTAAATGGCAGGCATCAGCAAAAAAGTAGATGAAGCGAGTTGTGGCAAAAATATTGTTTACCTTGTAAACAACATCACAGTCCGAGTCATTCACATACTGGGAATGGAGTTCAAAGAACTTACGATTAGGGGATGCTCCATCGTTGACTGCGGCAATGACCCAGAGGTTTAATGACAACTCAAGCACTCCTACAACTTCCCAGAACATAGACATTATCTGGTAGGAGGTAACATTCTCGGTAAAATAATATGCAATGACATGCTTGATGTCACTGCACATTCCTCTTACCAAAAATGCAAGTGCATGAGTTGCCATTACATCTTCTTCACCGAGGCTGGCATAATTGGTCATTGGGTCCCCAAGATCAACAAACCCAATCAACTCACCAGAATACTTGTCAAAGACGAGGTTAGACTGGATTTTCATCTCATCCATCACCAACACCAGATATCGTTGAATGCCTGTTAATGCGGCAGCTTTCTCACGTAAAGACTCAATGTT